GGCGCTCCGGCTGACGGTTGGACAGCTCGGAGCGCTGTTCCCGCGGCCATAGGGCCTAATCAGGGAAGTGGAGCGGGCGGCTCCCACAATTCCCCCCTCCTCAAGATCTTGAGCACCCCTTTAGAACAAGGGATGCCGGCTCTCGTTCCCCCCCCCCCCAAAATGACGCGCACAGAAAAAACAACAAAACACTACAAAATACATTAAATATATATAATAATCCATCATACATTATACATGATCCTGAATACATAATGCTACATAAAAATTAAAAAAAACACACTCTTGAGGAGGCCGTCGCCCGGGGCTCCTGTCTTTAAAAATTCAAAAGTTCCTCCGTGAGCTGTCGCTCCTCCTCCGGGCTCAGCGCTGGTGCGGAGGGTGCCGCCTCCCCACTCACCCCGTCCATCGCCACGTCCACTGGCATCTTGAACAGGCTGCCGTCCAAGATGGCGGCCGCGAACTCCGGCCGTCGCGCCATATACGACAGGACGGCGTCCACGGCGCCTGGCTGGTCGAGGGCGGCGTGCAGGTCAGGCGGGGCAGGCGGGGGGACCACCCCGGGCGCCCGGACCCGGCTCCGATGGATCTTGCTGTCGTCGTGGACCTCGTTAATGCGTAGGACCCCGCAGCCCTCACAGTACACTGCCGCGGGGTCCGGCGTCATGGAGGCGCCCTGGGCCTCGCGGTCCGCGTCCTGGATCGTACGGCCCCGAAAGAGCGGGGGCAGCTTGTCGGCCGGGACCCCCCGTCTGGGCCGCCGCTGTTCCGGCCATCCCCGCCAGGAGACGAAGCCGTGTGGCGGCCCGGTCCCCTGCTGCCACGTCCATGTTGCGACGTGGCGGGTCGATTTGGTGGTGGGGAGAGGGCCCGCCCCCGCCCCGGGAGACGGGGTGTCCAAGGGTGATTGTGATGGTGTCCCCGAGGCGGCCCTGGAGGAAGCCGCTGACCGGGGTTCACGTGTGTCTGCGGACGAGCGGCGCCGGGCGGTGCCATGGGGGGAGGGAGCCGCTGACCTGGGTCGCCCCCGGACCCCGTTGCGACCGCTGGACTCCACGGACGGGTGGCGCTGGGCTGCGCCGTGGGGGGAGGGAGCCGCTGTCCGGGGCTGCTCCCGGACCCCGTAGCCGCCGTTTTGGCGGGAATCAGGGCCACGGACGTAGGGGCGCCGCCTCCAGGTGGGTCGCCATTGCCCCCTCCACGAAGGCGAGGCCGTCGATGTTTGTGGCCCCCGTCCGGCACCGTCCCCAAGTTGACGTTGTCGCTGCATGGCTTCTGAGTTTACTGGATCCCGGCCCGCACACTTGTCGCGCGTCAAAATGTCTCTCCCTCCTCCCTCGCCCTCGTATCCCTACACGAGAGGGAAGAAGGGAAGGAACCCCCGGGACGGACTTTCGGAGCATCTCCCCGCATACAGCAAGGAAACTCCGCTCGGTCCCCCGTCATCCGCGTGGAGGGGGATGGGGGTGGAAAACACGACTTCGAAACGGGGCTTGGGGAAAAGTCAGTGGGCCAACCCCTCGCCGAAAGTCGTAAAATCTCTCGGAGGCGCTGCTTCTCAAGGATCGCTTTGGCGGGACCGGGAGAAGGGCGTCATGCTCCTGGCCGACAGAAAACATTGCCACCGAGGGGTGACACGTTTCCGAGAACAGGCTTGTTAGCGGGGTTGCCAATAGCTGAACTCGGGCAGCCTGCGTACATTAACCGGCCCAACCGCAGAGCGGGAGGTTTCAGTTGGAATGCAGACCACGCAGTGCCCTTAACAGGATATGGCACTCTGCGTACGCAAACTGAACTCGGCGGCAGAGGATGCGGCAACCTACCGAGGCAAGCAGGGGTTGCCCGGTTGCTAGGATTTTTCTAGCCGTCCTTTTCGATGACTCCGCAACGTGTAGCGGGGTGCCGACACTTGGCCGTTGACCCCGCCTCGTCGCGAGTGCGTCTGCTGCCGCGAGAAACAATGGTCCTCGGTCGACTCGTCCTCCCTCATTGTGTAAGGTTTGAGGTCGCAGACGTGTACCGGTCCACCCACGTCCCTAGATTGTAGGTCCGTTAGCTTATAGACCAGGCGGGAGCATGTATTTTTGACTCGGAACGGGCCCGACCACTTTGGCGCCAGCGCGGCCGAAAAGGCCTTGCTTGCATCGCTAAGCACGTGCGTGCGCCTAAGCACGAGGTCGCCCGCCTGATAGCGGACATCTCTGTGCGTCCGGTCATACTGTGCCTTTTGGCTAGCCTGCGCAGCTTCCAGATTTCGGCGGGCTTCGGAAAAGATATCCGTTAACCGAAACTGTAGCTGCCGGGCGTAGTCAGCATAGGCTGGTCGCGCGTCGTTCACCCCGCCGTTGGCTGCCAGAACCCGGTCCATGGGATTCATGAGCTCATGCCCAAATGTGAGCAGGGCAGGGGTGAATCCCGTCGATCGGTTGACCGTGGATCGGAGGGCAAACCCAATCTCGGGGAGATAAGTGTCCCAATCCTTGTGCCGCTCCGCATAAGCTGCAAGCATAGGTTTGAGATTGCGGTTCACGCGTTCGGTCACATTCGACTGGGGGTGGTACGTCGTGGTCCTATTGTGCTTAATGCCGAGGGCCGCACAGGTGTCCACGAATACCTTCGACGTAAAGACGCTGGCATTGTCCGTTATCAAAGCCTTAGGGTACCCAAAGCGCGAGAACACCTCCATTAGCTTATCTAGGATCACTCGAGCCGTCAGCGTTCGGAGGGGAAATAGTTCGACCCATTTGCTGAAGTGATCAGTGACAACCAGCAGGTACTGATGACCCTTCGGGCTCCTTGGAAAGGGGCCGACGATGTCGCACGCCGCGAGAGACCAGGCGTGCTGACTCTTGATGGGCTGCAACAAGCCGGGGACTTTGCCGCCTCGCGGTTTGAGGCTTTGGCACAGGTGGCATGACCGGGCGTATCTCAGTACGTCGCTTTTCATGTTGGGCCAGGTGGCGAAGTGGCACAACTTATGATAAGTCTTGGGGCCACTCGCGTGTCCGGCCGTTGGCGTGTCGTGATAAAAGCGCAAAAGCGCGCCTCTCAGCCCTCGGGGTACCACCACCTTGAACGGATCACAGGTGTCATTCTCAGATGGTATGTACCGCAAAAGAAGCCCGTCGGCGTCCAGCAAGAACGAATCCAATGCGCCAACCACATTACCAGTGGCTTCCCGACGCTGGGCGTTTCCAGCAATACCAGCTGATCGCCCCGCGGCCGCGCCGCCCGACTCCGACGAGTCGCGCTCTCCCAGGAGCCCGTCGATTACTTCTCGACAAAATGGATCGTTCTGCTGAGCTTCTCGTAGCTCTTGTTTGCTAAAGGGGATCCCCACGCCTCCAAAAGAGTCGACATGGTTCACGGTTCCGTCAGAGAGCCCCGGGGGTGCCGGTGTCTCGTCGGACTGGGCTGTGCGTGGCTCGGACGCAATCACACATTTCGGCCGAGTTTCTGACGTGGAGGGGTCAGCAAACGCAATGGGGGCCCGAGACAAGGCGTCGGCCACAACGTTCGTGCTTCCCTTTCTGTAGCGCACCTCATAGTCGTAGCGCTGCAACGTCAAAGCCCATCTCGCCAGGCGACCGGCCGGCTCTCGGAGGCGTGTGAGCCATTTCAGAGCGGCGTGGTCGGTCTCAATGATAAAAGTCGTCCCGTCAACGAACATGTCGAACTTACGGAGCGCGAACACCATGGCAAGGCACTCCCGTTCGGTCACGCTGTATCGGGTTTCGGCGGGCGTCAATGATCGGCTGGCAAAGGCGACCGGTCGGAGCGCGCCTTGGTGCTCCTGGAGCAAAACCGCACCGAGTCCCCGGTCGCTCGCGTCGGTTTGTATCACGAACGGCCGGTTCAAGTCGGGCAGCTTGAGGTTGGCGGTGGACACGAGAGCATCAGCGAGGCTTCGGAAAGCGGCCTCCTGCTCGGGGCCCCAGTTCCACTTCGCCGACTTCCTCAACAAACGGGTTAAGGGGGCCTGGACAGCCGCGCAACCAGGGATAAACTGACGATAAAAGTTTATCATTCCGAGGTAGCGGCGCAGAGAGCTAACGTCCGTCGGCGCCGGATACTCCAGGATAGCCTGGAGTTTTTCAGGGCACGGAGAGACGCCGCTGCGGTCGATCGTGAAACCCAGCAAAGAGATACGGGTCTCGGCGACTTGGGCCTTTTTCGGATTCAGGGTCATTCCGGCGGCCCTTAGTCTCCCAAGAACATCCTCCAAATGACGCAGGTGATCTTCGAAGGTGTCCGAGTACACGACAATGTCATCGAGGTACGCCATGGCATAGGACCATCTGGCTTCCCCGAGAACACGGTCCATGAGTCGTTGGAACGTCATTGGCGCTCCTGTAAGCCCGAACGGCATGCGCGTGAACTCAAAAAGTCCACGGTGACAGACGAAGGCTGTCTTTTCTGCATCGTCGGGTTCGACTTGGACCTGTAGGTAGCCTCTGCTGGCGTCGAGCGTCGTAAAGAACTTTGCTCCGCCGAGGTTCGAGATGATGGAGTCGATGCTTTGGAACGGATAGGCGTCCTTGCGCGTGAGTTCATTCAGTTTGCGGTAGTCAACGCAGAGGCGGGAGCTTCCGTCTTTCTTTGGGACAAGCACGACCGGAAAACCCCATGGGCTCTCTGAACGCCGGATAACGCCGGTGTCTGTCAATTCATCCAGGGCGGCGTCGATGGCCTTTCTTTTAGCCAAACTAACCGGACGAGGATTGCACCGCCAGGGGCGAGCGTCCCCTGTGTCGATCCGATGCCGCACTGAGTCGGCGCAGCCGGGTCTGTCCGTGAACATCGAGTCATAAGAGTATAACAACGATGAAAGGCGCGCCCTGTCGCGACCCGCAACACCGCAGGAGGGTGTCAGCAGTGGGTGCGAAGCATTCTCGGCCGCGCCGGCGGCACGCGCCGGGCGTGCGGACGCGAAGCCCAAAACCGGTTTCGGAGAAACAGTCTCTCCCGCGCAACCAGGGTTGCCTGCGGCGCTCGTTGGCATGGGGGCCGTTGAGGTGGCTGGGGGCTCGCAGAAGGGTTTCACTGGACCAAAAGGGCCCTCACGGTAACCTCCGTTAGCGACGTCAATCACCATCCCCGTTCGAGCAAGGAAGTCTCGCCCCAGAATCACCGGTACAGACAGGCCGGGGAGGTGGACGAAACGGTGGCGTCTCACTCGTTGGTCCCATCGCACGATCAGCCTTACGGCGCCGCTCGATTGGGCGGTGCCGCCTGCGGCCAGTCGAAAGGACGTGTTGCATTCCCGCAGCCGCACGGAGTGCGCCTGCAGGTGTGCCAGTACGTCTTCGCCGAACAACGATGCGCTCGCCCCCGAGTCGAGGAGAGCCGCAAACGTCCGGCCGGCGATGGTGAGAGCCAAGAACGGGGCAGGCGCATCGGGCGAAGAGTCCACCCGATACGCGGACGGAGCGAGGGCGATCAAGGGGGCCCCCGCGTTCCGTCGCGCCGCCGGCCTCGTCAGCGGCGGCCGGATCCGTTTCCCGAAGCTTGTTGAGGCGCGGGCCGCTGGTCGGTACATTCTCGGGCAAAATGGCCGGGACGACCGCAGCGGTAACACTGGACGTTCGAACCGCGGGACGGGTTCCGTCGCAAGTTCCTTGGCGGGTTGGGGCGCTCATTCTGGGCATCAAGGTGCCCGGTCTGCGCCCATCTGCGCGGCCTCGGGTCCGCGGGGCGGTCCCGATAACGCTGGTTCGCCTGCGCCTCTGTGGAGCATCTTCGCAAGCCAAAGGTGTAGGGGTCGAGAGCACGATTGGAGATGTCCCTCGTGTCCGTTCCCCGCGGGTCGGCATAGGCCGCGCACACCTCGGGCCGGCGAGAGCGAGATCCGCTGTTTCCATTCCACGCGCAGCGCGGCTCTAGGGACTCCGACGGCGGGGGCGGAGGCCGATAGGCGCGAGCTGCGAGGATATCGCCCTGGACGCGGCGGGCTTCGGCGGCAAGCTCGTCCAGAGAGCTGAACCTGCTGCCTCGTAAGTAGGCGGCGAACGTCGGGTGCGCCTGCCTGATTACCCGCTCCACTCTCTCGGCGTTCGGGGCGGCAGGGTCAGCTATTAGAAATAGCTCCTGCATTGCCCTGACATACTCGAGAAGCGATTCGTCCGGGTGCTGGGTCCGTCGCTCCAACTCTCGTCGCATCCTCCGCTCATAATCCGCGGGGAGGAATTCCTGGCGAAAAGACACCCGGAACTCGTAGAGAGTGAGCGCATGCTGGCCGGCAAGGCGAAACCAGCGGGCTGCCTGATCGGTGAGGGCGACCGGCAGAATGCGGCCCAGAATTTCCTGGTCAGACATCCCCATGGCCTGCTGGTAGTGAAGCAGATCCTCCAGGAAGTCCGTTGCGCTGACCGCGTCGTCGTACCCCTTATACTTGGGTATGGGGATTCGGACCGGTGTTCGCGTGGCTCGCGGTCCTGACAAAACGGACTGCATGGCTCCGGACAGGCTCTCAATGATTCGTGATGCATCTTGCAAAAGCGCGTCATGAGAGCTCTGCTGTCCATTTCCCGAGCAGACTGGTGTGGGCACGTGCAGCGCTGGGGACTCGTCTCGCAAAAGGGAGACTCCCGAAACGCCGTTCGGCAAGCGATCGGCTCCGTCTGTGGGCAAGTCAATGAGATTGCCGACCGCGGTGGCCCCAACAGAAGCTGCGTCGACATCGCGCGCGGGAAGGCTCCCCCTCGAGGGGGGGGAGGAGGCCATCGCGAGGAGTGCCGAGCCTTTCTGTCGCCGTGTCAGGCCGGGGGAGTAAATGAGCGGCGTGACCGTAGGGCGGTCCGCTCAACTCGCCTGTGGTGTCTCTCTGAGGCGGGTGATGCACGTCGATAAACGGCCAGGCGGGTGGGCTCTCTCGCAAAGGGGAGGCCAACGTAGCGCGATCGTGCAGGAGACCGGCTCGTACGGACACCGAGTCTCGATGGGGCTCTGGGGCAGCGCTGCGACCACCGAGTGATCCGCTCACGTCACCGGCGGCGTATCCCTCAGGTGGGGGAACTGTGCCGGGCATCGGCTCCGCCTGAATGGGTTCTCTCGAGGGAGATGTTGTCAGGGGGCCTTCGGCTGAGGCGGGAACTTCTGAATAGAGTCCGCTAGCCGAGGTCGGCGAAAGCTGCTGGCCTCCGAGGAGAACGGTGGCCTGGGTGATGCGTGGTGAGCGCGGGGCAGGAAGAGGCTGCCCTCGCGTAGCCACATCAGCCAACGTGTTTAGAGGACCGAAGTCGGGTCGTCCCGTTGACATGGCGTGAAAAGAACGGAGCGGCCGATACGTCTATGCTAAACCACGACAGCAATTGGTGTCGTGGCCCCACGTTGGGCGCCAAAATGTGGAGGTCTCAAAGGGGCAGCGCCTTCCGGCAGGGAGGCCGACCGCTCAACCTACCACCCCGCAGCGTATCATGCTAAGCGCTGCGGCGGGTTCGACTGTCGGCTGCAACCGTTAGCCGGGACTCTCAAAAGGGAGCACACGGACACGCCGAAGGCAAGGGATAATCGGGTGTTTATTTTACGTGTTAAACATATAAAGATAAGAAACACGCTAAGGGCGACAAGGAAGGAACAGACCTTACCTTGTCGTGCCTTCCCGAGAGCGGGCTCGGAGGTGGGCCGTCAGGGAGGGTCGGGCCACACGTCCGAACAGTTCGATGTCCCCGCGAGCAGTCCCCTCGAGCCGGGGTACCAGGCCCCCCTTCTCTCTTTCTCCCTCTCCGCTGGCGGCCTCAGCCTCGGACCCAAGAAGGTCCAACCGCCAGGGGGACGTTTCGCGTGTCCCCGCAAGGTGGGGGGGCACGGGGGATGGAGGCATGCGAAGCGAGGGTAAGCAGCCAAGATGGCTGCTCCTCCGAGGCACGAGACGGGGCGCTCCGGCTGACGGTTGGACAGCTCGGAGCGCTGTTCCCGCGGCCATAGGGCCTAATCAGGGAAGTGGAGCGGGCGGCTCCCACAACCTTCAGTAAAACTACTAGCTTATACGACCTTGGTCAGATCTAAACTTGAATTTGCTTCATCCATATGGTCACCATGGCAATCATATCTAACTAACAGCCTTGAATCCGTTCAAAACAGAGGTCTTCGTTTTATTTTCTCTGACTACTCCCCATACACTAGCATATCAGGATTACGCAAATCAGCTAACCTTGACTTACTTTCTTTACGTCGAAGGGTGTCACGTCTCACTCTTCTTCACAAAATCTTTTACCACAACAACCATCTAAAAGATTCTCTACTATCACCTCCCTACCGTATTTTCCCTCGTTTTGACCACTCATGTAAACTGCGCTCAATTACTTCGTCATCTGTCTCCTATAAAATGTCGACTTTACCATCTGCTATTGACGATTGGAACTCATTACCTGACCTCATTGTAAACATGACTGATACTAACAAGTTTGCTGCAGCCGTTAACCTCTTTCTTTCTGAAATACAAGTATAGATTACAGCGTGTTTTTTATTAACTATTTTTGTTGATGTTTTTAGTGTGTTCACTCCCTTGTATAATGCCCCCTGGGGCCCTCAAGGAAAATAAATGATGATGATGATACCGGTAATTTCATTCGCCATGTGGTTCGCCGTCAGAACCATAATAGGATAAACCAACCTGCAAGAACAGCTTCCAAACCGCTAGCACGCGTCAGCATCCCTTACGTGAAAGGAACGAGCGAACTACTATCCAGACTATTCGCAAAGGAACATATTATGGTTGCACACAAACCGGTGTCAACTCTTGGGCACTTCCTACCCCGCCCAAAGGACAAGCCACCGAAGGACAGGGCCCAGGGCGTCATTTATAAGATTCCATGCTCCCAATGCCCCGCCTCCTATATCGGCGAATCGAAGAACTTCCACGATCGACTCCGCCAACATAAAAACGACGTGCGAAACTTCGACAGAGAACGCAGTGCTCTCGCTGAACATTGCGAGACCCTCGACCACCGCATTGCCTTTGAAAACGCAAGCATCCTAGACACGGCATCAAATCTACGTAGAAGACACCTCGTAGAGTCATGGTACATACAAACAATCTCTAACAACATCAATAGGTCCTTAGGGGCACTTCCAACTTTATATATTACCGGCCTCCAAGATGTTATAACAGACTGCGCACGGCACGACCAGCCTACTAAGACCAATGAAAAAGAAAAAGAAGTCGCTCAACATCTAGAAGAAGAAGAAGCTGCTGTCCTTCATTCATCCCCCTGAAGAAGAAACGAACGGTTTCGAAACGTAGGGTCGCTACTATTTCAATTTTTGGTTGGCGGATTATCTTATCTCTTTATTATTTACCCAACCAGAGAGAATTCTCTCAAACATGTTTACCTTTAATTATGTCTTGAGCAACTCTACCGCTATATAAGTGCCGTACTTCCATCAAGTTTTTTTTTTTTTCTTTTTTTACGAATTTGGGTGCGTTTTGCGGGGTATTATTTTTCAACATTCGGCGGTTTCGCGGTGCTTATTTTCGGTATCAGACAAAATATCGTTGTTTATTGGCATGGTTCCCGAACCTCAAGGAACATGAACGTGACTACCCTACTTGGAAAGACGTCCCCGTACCGACAAGAGATGGAAACGATATAAGTAGGGTTCGGAGTTTTCGGTTTAAACCGATAAAAACCGAAAAAAGTACGCCGAATCGATTTTCGAAAATTTGGTTTTAACCGAAAAAGGTCAGTTTGTAGGTTCGGCGTTTTTGGTTTAAACCGATAAAAGTACATTCGGTTTTAACCGAAGAAGGTCATTATTTTAGGGCCGCCTCGAGGTAGGAGGGGGGGGGGGGGGGGGGCGGGGGGCGGGGGAGAAAGGGTGAGGGCTTTGCAAGGTTCGACATTGTGTGACCTCAGTAAAGTGGAGATATGGGCCAGTCGGTTCATTGCAAGCAAAAAAGCGCCGAAAAAATACCGGTACACAGAACGAAGGGTGCGCCTTCTCCTGTTTCCCTTCGTCTGTGTACCTGTATTTTTTCGGCGCTTTTTTGCTTGTGTGACCTCTTCATGATTGCCCCCTTCCAAGGTTCAACATGCAACAAAAGAGGTCTTGGATTGGCCTTCGCGGGACATCTGTGTCCTTTCTGTGATCGGGCTTAGTGTGTCAAGTTCCCGGTCCTAAAAAAAAAGTTCGGATGTGGGCTAGTACAAGGTTTTTCGCTTTATGCACTTCAGAGGACATCGAGGAAAGGTGTTAATACCTTTCTTAACACCCTCTCTCAAACTCCCCTCTAATTAAAAACATAAATACAATGAATTTTTTATTTTTTATTTTTGTTTTGTTTTTGCTATTCCGCGGGTTTTAGTACGGTCATCACCTCAGGCGGTCACGTCGTCAGAATGGGAAGGAAAAAGAAGCGCGCTGAAGATTATGCCCGCGAATTCCGCGATTTTGAGGTGTGTCCTGACGGAAGTTTTAGCGAAGACCACGCATGTATCTGTGCCGTTATTCTTTGAGTGATCACAAATATCACAGCTACAAGGATCATCTGATCCGGTGTCCGATGGTGTTTCTTTCATATTCACCGACAAAAAAAATAAAAAAAGAACAGTAAACTTTTTTTTTTTAGAATAAATATACACCGAAAAAAACAAACGAAAATTGAATTTTAAAATAAACACAAAAAAAAGTACGCCGAATTTCGAAAAAATAAAAACCGAAAACGCGGAACCCTAGATATAAGAAGTGTGGTTCCTACAAAAACCAGCAGTTTCGTGGACGGTTCAACACATAGTAAAGCTGTAGACGAAAATTTATTTTCTTGGGTCATGGGGTTTTCTTAAGCAGCCCGAATTCGTGTTTTTTTTTCCATGGATTTGGATAAAACCAAAACGGGGCTTAATTTTCGGGGTTTTATCCGCGTAGATCCAAAACGCGGAACCCTAATAATGAATTTCTAATCGGCGCCATACTATTGGATTTTAGTTCAATATTGTCTAACTTTTTTATATGAAAAAAAAAAACGACCACAATAAAACGTTACGTTGCTTAGCTTCAGTTGTGAATTACACATGCAATGAAACGCCCCGATTGCGGGTAAATTTCTAGATATATAGCGAAGTGCTTATTTGAGCCTCTCCATGTGAAAATTTAAATCCTTGTAACACGGAGCGAGAGATCCTCCTACATACTACAGGTGGTCATTCTTCTTAGTTTTTATATCGTGAAGGATATACGTAGAGATACGACTGTGACGTACACCATGACAACCAACGAAATCAGATGCCCCCCCCCCCCCCTTTCCCTTACAGCCAAACGCTTGGTTTCCTTGGTAGCTTACCGAGATATACGCAAAATTATAATTTTCTTATCTCTAGAACGCTTAGGGGTGCGTATAGGTGTGAGATAGTGGCGTAAAATACACAGACAAAAACTCAACTCTTGAACGCGAACTTTGCCAAAAATCTGCATGCTTGCTTGGTTCAACTTGGTAGGACGTCCTTTTTAATTACAGTTTATACTCCATTTCACAAATGTCCGCAGACAAACACACTGGCGCCCGTGAGTCTACATAACAAACACCACCTAAATAATCAAGGCCGCCTGCGAACGACCTCCTCTTCCCCTATATGAAACGTCACAATCGGATGCCGCCAACTAAGCACTCGAATCCGAGCCCGACGACAAGCGTCGTTTGACGCGTTAGTTGGACGCGAGACTC